ATGTTATCAACACCAATATTAAATTCCGAACAGTTTTCCTCGAGAGATCGACCCGGGAAACGAATCATTTAATTCGGTGCTCGGTAAAATAAAATAATTTGTACACAACATCGGGGCGCGACACAACTAAAGCTGGTGCGAGGAATCTACTACACAAGTATCAACATGCTCAACCTTGTATAGCCTAAACTCCCAAGCATGTACTGCATTGACTGAACGAGTCATGCATAGAGGTATATTTTGGGCGAAGCCTAGCTGACGCAAAAACCAGACAAACAAGTACGGTTCCACAATATCGCGATATCTAATGCATCTGCAATAAAGGGTCCTCGGCTCCGTTGAAGCTCGGCTGGGACCGTATGACAACCATTGCACCTTTTCACAATTGCATAAAAACAATTATTAAAACAATTATATTACTTGAAATAATTTTAAATGCAAAGTAAATAAAATAACTTAATGTACATCAGAGACGGTGAGAGTGTCAAGACGTCGACAGATAGAAATAAGACGATGTTCTGATCTCTCCGTCACCTCTATTCTCCATGAGCGAGATCAGGCGACACAACCAGCATCGGTGGTCAGATGCTCTCGCTAGGGTCGGAAGCAATGACAGTACTCATATATCCAAGAGTGCGTAAGAGTCAAGCAGCCACAAAGTCCCTGCGCGTCCCCTATGATGGCAATACCTAATTGTCTGTACAGGTAAGGCAGTGCACCCGAGCCCCAGGAATAAGTTTCAATACTATTCAAGTCATCGATGACCTCGTGAAGGAATTTAGAAAATACCATGCTACCGCTATTGTCAACAAACAAGGTGGTACTTAGCAACACCCACACCCAAGCAGTATCCTCATCCACATGCAACTGGGTTGTCCCCTCAAATGCTGCTAAAATGGGGAATCTGTTACCGCACCATGCTACCAGAACGACTGCATTAACTCAGTTTTAGTGAGCTGCAACTTGTCCATGCAGTAAGTCTGGCAAGAGCTAGTGTCGGGGTCCTCTGTAACTATCTCTCCCTCTACAAGAACCCCAAAAGTGGTTAAAACATCATGCAACATGATACTCATTTCACCGAACGACATGTGAAAAGAGTTTGTATCAGGCTGCCAGCGCTCGACAGATGTAGAAATAAGTATAGTGTTCACATGAGTATGAATCAAATCTGCGAGATGTGACAGCCCCTCCGATCTATCAATTTGCATGAAGCGGGGGCATAGTACAGAGCCAACTCTTCAACTTCTCCATGCAGTAAACCTGGCATTGGGCCTGAAACGATATAGGCTTCCGTATGTACACTCCTAGATCATTTGCTAGTACATGACATTAGAATATAACACACACACAACACACACACACACACACACACACATATATATATATATATGACATATTGTGACTGATTGTATCAATCATATGTTATTAAATAAAAATATTGAATGATATACAACAATAAATACATAATTATTTACATGTGGATTCAGTGCTAAAAAAATGACCCCCACCACATGGAGCAGGTCGTGCAGGAGTCTGTCGTGGGGGAGGAATGTCCTGGCAATCTCCAGAGTCAAAGTCCTCATAATCCTTTGAGAACTGCAACCTCTCGAAATAAGACTCATAATAATCATCCCGCTGCTCGAGGCATCTCGAGCTGCCAGCCTGACAATCCTCAAACTGCTGCTCGTGAAAAGACTGGTGACGTGACCAATCTGTCTCAGGCGAACTTGACGTTGCATATCAACGACTTTCGCCTGACGAGCAGGAGCGTTCACATATCGTGTGTCGCGATCCAAAATAAAAAATTCACATCCTTTGTATCGGTGGCCAGTCGTGCAAGTCTACCACCAGTCTAAATCAATAATTTAAACTAATAATTAGTAAACAACTTTCTTTTTTCTTTCAAAACGATAGAGAATTCTATAGATAAAATCGCACAACGTGCAAAGGTACAACCCATCCAAGCATAACCACTACTAGTCCCGTCCAAGCATAACAACTAACTATACTATATTTTTAAAGTTAACCAAATAAAATAAAAAAATCCAAACAAAACCAAATTTTTTTATATCTGAGCATAACCACTACTACTCCGGTCTTAGCCCAAAAAAAAAAAAAAGTAAAATAAAATAAAAATAAAAAAAGGAACAAAACTTTTGAAACGACGACGTCGTGTTGCACACTATCGAACTCTATAAAATTGATCTCCAATTTGCAGCTGTTCTCTCGCACACATCCCCTCCAGTCCCTTTGGTTCATTGACACCATAAATGCACATCAACAATTTCCGTCAAAGTTCCCAATCATGGAGGACAAGGACACCGAACTCCTCTCTAGGGTCACCGCAAACCACTTATTCCTTGGACAATTCGAGCCATTTCGGGCCACGCTCCGCAGCCTCCGTGCCCGGAACCCGGACATCGCCCGGACCATTCTACAAACGATTATTTCACAGGGCGGGTGTATGGGTGTACCAGACCCGGTTCTATGGTCCGAATCATGCCCTTCCCCTGCAGTCCTCACATTCCTCTGCACACTCGAGCTGCTCCAGTTCCCAGACGCCACACTTAATCTCTGGTCATTCGGCCCGGATATGTTGAAATTGCGGGCTGAATTTTTGTTGTATGTACATATTGTTAGTTCTAGAGTTTCGAAAACAGCTGTTGATGGTGGATACTCGGAGGGAGCTGAGAAACTTGATGAGGGCGGTATGAAGAATGAGGAGCTGGGAGTCCTGGATAGACTTTCAAGGGTTGGATTGAACAGATTGAGGCCGGATTTGTTTGATTCAGGAGATAAGGAGGATAAGGTTCTTCCCGACTTGCTTGAAGAGGAGCTAATGTCGTTGAAAGGGGTTATTTTGGAGAATTCTGATATTTTTGATGTGATGTGTGTGAATATTGGCGAGCAAGTTGGGTGCATGGGGAATGATGATTCAGGTGGACTGGCGATTGCTTTGAGAAATGAGGCGAGGCGGCACGAGGATAGGAAGGAGGATGAGGTACTCAAGTTTGTTCAGAAGTGTGTTCAGGTAGCACATATTGATGCCATGAGGCTGTGTTTGAAAAATGGTGAAGAGGATCTCGCGATTTCACATGTTAGGTTTCTTCGTTTGGACTGTGGAGTTGAAGAGGCAGAGTATCGGTATGATTATTTCTGTCCTCTTTTTAATCTTGAGATTGATGTTTGCCTGATAATTAGTGGAGTCTAGTTGCAGAAGTAATGTGATCATTGTCTTTGTTTTACTCTGAGCATGCATTTGCCTTCATATTGATTCTCGAGTTTTTCATGATGCCCTCGTTATTATTTACATATTACAGAAAAAAGGTTTGTTCTAACTTCTAAGTAGTCACACCAAAGTTTTTATTAACTGAGGCAGTCAGGTTGTGTTTGATTCCAAGCATCTATATCCACAACACAGATATTTCAAATACCTTGGATTTGATTTTGGTTCATTTGAAAAATATATCGTCTGGATACAAATTGGGTTTGCGCAGATTTCAAATCCATTACAAGTATTAAGCTTTTTTTTTCTCCTTCTTAATATTTAGTTATTAATATAATAGAGAAATCGATTTGCTAATGCAAATAAGCTCAATGTGTTTATCCGAAACTTATATGGGCCTATTAGGCTGTGAGCGGATAGCTCATAACTAATTGTATTAGCGAATAACCGATATGTATTATTTGATTTGGCTTGTGAATCATATGAACTAGTTGTATTGTGAAGATAATTTGGAAATTACCACTAAGGATGTAATACTTTATTTTTAGCATATATTACTGATAATATATATGCTTACTCTATTGAATAATTAAAGAATAACAATAATCAATTTAAAATTAGTAGATGGCATTCTTTAAGGCTAACTCACAAATTATACAAACATGTTGAATTTTAAATTTGTAAAATATATATTATATCTTGGGTCGCTACGGAAACAACCTCCTTGTATAATTACAAGGGTAAGGTCTGCGTACAACTACCCCCCAGACCCCAACCAGTTGGGAATATACTGGGTATGTTGTTGTTGTTGTTGTAAAATATATATTATATATGCAAATTTATGATAGATATGACTTATTATGAAACATAAATGTAATTTTGGGAAGTCATTTTACTTGCACTTGCACTGTTCAATTTGCTTTTCCAGCAAGTTCATCTACCCAGTTGGACCCAAATAATTAATATAAACACCTCTTTACCAAATAGTATAGTTAACGAATTTGACTGGCCTAAACTCTAAATTGGCTTCAAACCTCTTATTCTATCTCAAACCTCTCATTATCGAACAAGCCATGATGTGCATGCTGAGCATATGTAGAGCGCAATTGTGAAATGTATTTGATGTATAATTGTGTGAAATTTGTGTCATGTAATTGTGTGAATTATGTGTTGTGTGCCTGTGTATTTATATATATATTATGTGTATTTATATATATATTATGCTGGCAAACTTCAATAAATTTTATATAACCAACAATTAATAATAATATCAATTCATTTAATAAAAATAGTTGTCCATTTAATAAAAATATGTTCACCATTTAAAACATATGTAACTTACAATTTATTTTGATTGAGCCCAATTTTTGATGGTGCCTATTTCTGTAACGGCATTTATGTCATGAAATACAAAATAATTTTGTTTTTATTTTGACACTATATTTTGGTATTATATAAATACATATTTCACAACTAATTAGGAATGACTGCAAATATCTCTATTTTCGATTGTAGTCATACAATAATAAAAATTTGTTTTTCCGGATATTATAAAGATACATCAAATATTTTAAAAAATTAAATCACAGAGTCACGAGTCGAAGGGCTTAACGATAATGGTTTGTTGTGATGGAGATTCTGATAATAGAAAAACCATGAATGTTATATATAAAGAAGTGTTTAAGAATATTTAGATTCACTTTTTTTTAATTATTTTTTTTTTCTCATTTATTAAGTTATGATTTTTATTTTAATCTATATTTCTAATTATTTTTTCTTCTATTATATCGCTTTTCGTGCAAATGCACGATGTAAAACTAGTTGTATATATATTATGTGTGTGTGAAATGTCTAGGTTGTGTAATTGTGTGAAATGTGTGTTTGGTGTTACGAACCTTAGGGTTTCGGCTGGAAAGTCGATCCCGGGGCGGCAAGTTGGCTGGTGTGGGAGGTGAGATAAAAATAAATAAAATCATTTGTGTGGCTGTGATACCATGTTATGAACCTTAGGGTTTTGGATGATTGATCCATTCACATATGAAGATGCCCATATATATAGACTTAGGGCCTTTAGTATATATGGGTTGGGCTTATAAGCTAGTTAACATTAGGAATGCATGTTGATTATATGTGTGTGAACTGTGAAACATATAATGTGTGTTTTTGTGTGTGAATATATAGTGTGTTTTTGTGCGTGTGTGAATATATAGTGTGTATTTATGTTGACGTGTGTATTGCATGTTTGCCGCAACTTGTGTGTGGTGATTGTGAGTGAATGCGTGCGGTGTACGTGCGTGAAATATGCCGAGTGTGTAATGCATGTGAAATATAGCAGGTTCTGTGAAATGTGTGACTGTGTGTGTTTGCATGTATGCGAGAGATATCTTCGTGTGTATACTATGTATAATAGATACAATGATAAAGAGTAGTTTTTAGAATAAATTCCAAGTTCACCATTTAGGGAGGAATTTGACACATTGATTTCGTGTTTTTGGCCAAAGATGTTGGGTGGATTTGACAATGGTTTCATACCCTCCTCTCTGATTTCCTCATTCCTAACTCTTGTTCAGTGGGTTTCCTTTGACTGGAGATGACCCGGAGATACTGGATTATTCATTTCATTCTGGGGCATTAATAGAAGATTGATGTAGCGAAATCATGTATTTCACATAATTTAGTGACCGTTCTTTAGATGCAATAAATCCATTTGATACTTTCTACAATATCATGCAAGTTTCTTCTGTACTGACTTGATCGTATTACTGGCAGTTATATTTCTAATGCCAGTAATTTGATGCTTTCTTTTGCCAGTTATATTTTAATAAATCCATCTGATACTGGCAGTTATATTTCTTATGCCAAATTATTTTTTCTATTAAAATTCAGAAAAATAAAATGCAACAGGCCATCACTGTTGGTTTTTCTAGTATTGAATACAACTGCATGATAATGCGGTTATTTTTACTGCTTCTCCCCCACTCCTACTTTTTCATTGTTTCCCTTGTAATCACCATTCACAAGTTACTGACTTCTACTCTTTTTGATTTCTAATAGCACGGTATTGCAAGATCTCCTAAAAAAGGTGTTGTCTGGAATGTATGATTATGGAGACACAGCACATGCCATACGAAATAAAGTTCTTTTGATATATACTGAAGCTCTTTCATCTCGTTGCGCTCGCCTTGCTCAAATACTTCAGGTTGGTTTGTTACTTAAGTTTTGTTATTGGTGATGCATTACCTCTTACTTCGATCTCATATTCTTTGATATGTTTGGAATGAGTCGATGACATATAATCTTGCTTCATGCATTAGGTCTTTGTAGAATGAGAGTTCAAAGAAAAGAGGTCAATTTATGGACTCCGTGTTATCCAATATGATGTTCTTCTTTTTTCCTCTATTTTTAATTAATGTGTGCTATGTTTATTGACGTCTTAGACAGTTAGGCTGCATTAAAAGGAAAAACTATGAATGTTCTATTGTTTTGTAGCTGTGAAAGAAGCGGTAAATGAGTATTTCTGAATTATGTATTGATGAAATCCTTATGTACATGATGAAAGTGAACTTCTTTTTGTTATTGTAAATTCTGGTGTTGTATGATCTATTCCAGATGTTTTATTTTTTCTATTACGCAGTGCAAAGGAATTTATATGTGATTCGTCTCACAGCTCATCCAAGATTACTTGCTCCTCCAAGATATTGAGGCCTACAGTGCTTCTGAAAGCAACAGGACTCCTCTTCCCCTCGAACATCTTCAAAAGTTCTTCACGCGATTGACACCTGAGACCTTATCGGCTGGCACACCTGAGTCGTATAAAATGGCAACAGCTGTTTGCATGAGAGAAATGTATCATTATGTTCGTGTTCGAGGCTTGCATGCACTCGAGTGCGTTGTGGATGCTGCTTTATCTCTTGTCCAGAACGAGCAGGTTCAAGAAGCCTGCCAGGTTTGTCTTTATAGTACTTTTTTGTGGTAAAGAATGTTATCTGTGGTCTAGTCTTTCATAACTGATGATTTGTTCTTACCTTTCAGTTGTGTTATCCAGCATTTTAGTTTAGTTTTTTGTTTGTTTGTTTGTTTCACATGTAGCTGCTGTATAGGCGATAATGATATTTACTTGATCATATGATGTGTAATTGCATGAACTTTTGTGCCCATTATCAGATGAAGCAGTTGGTGCACTTTATGTTTCTGAAATATCCCTCACATGTCTAGCACACTCAATACAACTCTGTCAACATGTTCTCCAGCTCTTCTTGATCCTATATAGAAATGAATCCTTTTAACGGTGGCCTGTTTCTCTGCTTCCACCTGAAGTAAAGGGAAGCTTTAACTAATACTTTAGGGATAAATCCTTTTACAGTGGCCTGTTTCTCTGGTTCCATGTGATGAAAAGGAAGCTTTAACCCTACAATTTTTATTGACATGCTTTGAAACTTCTTTTAGGAAAGTGTCTCATTACATATGATTGACGTCATTGGTATTTTACTGGTCCTGGTGCCAACTTGTTATTGTTTTCAATTAAATTATTGCCCTCATTCGACTTATGCCAGTACGTTGTACCGACATATGGTAGGTGCTTATGCTGTTCCCCCGTCTTCAACCCCTGGTAGCTGCCATGGGTTGGGATCTTTTAGCTGGGAAAACAACAATGAGAAGGAAACTGATGCAGTCTTTGTGGACAAGTAAATCACAAGCTCTTCGACTGGAAGAGTCTTCTCCGTATGATAATAAGCTAGATGAGGTATTTATATATTGTATCCCTCATTCTGCATCTAGCCTGAGCTCTATTTGAGGATGTGAATTGCGATTTTGTATGTTTTGCTCTAATATATTCATGAATTGTCCTGCACGTGCAAGTAATTATACTCCTTTAATACTTCACTGTTGCAGGCACCTTGTGTTGAACATCTTTGTGATACATTATGCTACCATCTTGATATTGCATCTTTTGTTGCCTGTAACAATTCCGGTCAATCATGGAGTCGGAAATCCTCCATTTTATTATCTGGAAAAGACTTAGCAGCACATGGGAATCAAGATGCTCACTTTGATCCATTTGTGGAAAATTTTGTACTGGAGAGATTGTCAGTCCAGAGTCCTCTTCGGGTAAGGCCCTACCCTGTATACCATTGACATGCTTTCACACTCAACATCCGTCTCTATATATAAATGCACCTAAGTGTCAACTTCCGGTGTTTCAAAATTCTCTGCTCAATATCTGGTGTTTCGTAATCCTATCATTTTTTTTGGGGTTTTGAGTAGTTCATGTAGATCTTGATTCTCGACTTTTATCCATACCTATTAGGTCTTTTAAAATTATAAAAACACTTGGTCAACTTAAATTATAAAAATATTTTAAAACTTTAAGATTTTTTTTATTTGTTATCAGTTTCATATATGATATATCAAACTAATCATCTTTTGACGATCTTTGATTTGACATCCATATTGCATATACAAAATAAAATAAAATGTTAAGGAATATTTAATAAAATTAAAGTAATATATATTTATTTTTTAAAACTCTTGTGTGTATAAAGTTTTAACTAATCCCCCTGTAATACACAGATTTTGTATTGCTAGTCTTTCTTATTCAGATGTATTTAGGCTATGGTCTTCACACTTATTTGTTGTTATCACACACATATTTGTCTTGATTTTACCATCATTCTTCCTGTTTTTGTAGGTAATTTTTGATTTGGTTCCTGAGATAAAGTTCCAAGATGCAGTCGAACTTCTTAGCATGCAGCCCATCCCTTCGAATTCATCAGCTTGGAAGAGGTGCAGTTATAGTTCACATTACTTGTTACTGTATTGAGTTTGTTTTGTGGAATTATGTCTTGAATAAGCTTTTTATGTTCTACGGAGGCAATTAATTGAAATTGCTATCTTATTTAGCAACTTTTTCTATACCATTGGTATTTTGGTCGCATGTTATCATTTCACATTGAACTACTTGGTTCTATCAAATATGCATTTCATCGGAATATAATCTGTAGTTCTTTATGAACTAGGTCTTTTCCATGAATCTTCCTACCTTCAGTAATATTGCTGAAATTTACTTTCTTCACCTTCTGCTTGTTTGTTGTTTATACATGTTCTTCTAGTCAGATTTTAAGTTCTGTTCATTGTGATTTATACAATATACAGGGTTCTGATATTTACTAATCAGAACTTTTAAAAGTATCCATTAGTTCTGCTAAATTCTTGTATTCTGATATAGTAAGAACGTGATTTTCAATGTATGATATATTATCCAAAAGTTGTCTCCGTCTTGTCCAAAATTTTATTTTTTCATGATACCATAGTTATTTTTTTATTTTTTTATTTTTTTTAAATCTGTTTTATTTATAGGGATCTGAATCTTATATACAAGTTATTTTGCTATACATTTTAGCGTAATTGTTTTTCTCAGATAGGCAGCCAATGCATTTGAAATGTATCTGTATTTATAGTTTGAAGGATCTCGTCTTATTCTTAAGGAAGAATTTCCGTCTTTATTTAATAATTTATGACAAGACCACCGGGTAAATATATATCTTGTTTTTACGGACTTAAGTATTAGTTTTTGCTGCACATCTCTATTCATGTCATGCTATAGAATAAGGTTTCCTTTTTATGTCATCAAGACATGTTTATCTGAAATACGTATACTAATGGGTAGTTATTAATTTTCCCTGCATATGTTTATGCTGCATTTCTTGTTGATGTTGACAGGATGCAAGATTTTGAACTTATACGCATGAGATATGCACTTGAATCTGCTGTTCTGGCCTTTGGAGCTATGGAAAAGAATACTAATGATGGAACAGGAGACCATCAGAAAGCGTTATATCACTTGAAAGCACTAAAGAATCATCTGGATGCAATTGCCAATACTTCTCGCAAGGTTTTGTGCTCTGCACTTTCCAAACTTATCGTACATTATATGTGTCGCTAGAGGTCATCTCTGCTTCTTTTCATAAAGAAATGTTGTTAGTTGACTAATCAAACCATTTTTTTTTAATCTGTGTAAATGTTACATGTGAGAAGTTATGTTTGACCCATATGGATTAATTACTCGGCTGTTATTGTTATAAATGTGGGTTGAGCACCCTCTCCCTTTGACATAGCTTTTGAAGATGAGTTCTACCCAGATCCATTTATAGTGGTATTAGAGTCCCCTTTTGTTTCTGGATTATATATATACAAATCAAGTGCTTCAACGTACACATCTACCACAACTCAATCCACACTCAATTCAACCCTCGAACTCCAATCCCATGGCTAGTCATCATCACACAAAGTACAAGAATCAGCCCGAAGTATTAGAAGTTATGTTTGTCCCACATAATTAGATACTGTGCTGTTGCTATGTGTAAGCGTGGGTTGGGCACCCTCTTCCTGTGAGTTAGCATTTGTGGATGAGTCCCATTTATCATGGTATCAGACAGTGTTATTAAATGGCGGCCATGGCGGTATGGCGTGGCAGATTTTAGCATTTGGGTTTGGAACTTATCCATTTGGTTTGGCACGCTGCACTTGAGAGAGAGGGGGG